GGGATGTGTGGGATGTGAGTGGGGTGGGGTGCATGTGTGTGGGAGTTGAGTGTTTGGGGATGTGGGGGGGTGTGAGTGGGGTGGGGTGAGGTGCGTGTGGGGGGAGTGTGTGTGGTGTGTGTGTTGGGGGGAGGGGGTGGTGGTGTGCTCAATGGACCAGGATTGCCTGGGCGACCAGGCTGTCTGGTTGAGTTCTGAGGAAGGGTCACCGGACCCGAAACGTTAACTCTGATTTTCTTTTTCCTTCACAGATGCTGCCAGACCTGCTGAGCTTTTCCAGCAACACGAGTTGCCATCAAGGTGCGGGGCGGACGCTCCCGGCGCCACGCGGACGCAGTTTCTCCTCCTTGTGCCGGGCCAGGATCTCCAGGAAGCAGAAGCTGTGGTGGAACTGCAGGATGTCGCAGACCTTGGAGCACGAGTGTCCGGACAGGGGCTGGGGCAGGAGGCCCCAGGCGGCCAGGGGCTGGTCCAGCAGCTTCAGGCCCACGAAGCCGCAGCAGGAGGCGATGGCCAGCACCAGGTGCCGGCGGGAGGCCCGGTCACCCAGCACTGACTGAGCCGCCAGGCCGGACACGACGGCCGCCGCCACGTGAATTCCCAGCGCCAGCTCGAAGCCCCGGCGGTGGGCCAGCGCCAAGCCGTAACTGCACACCGAGGCGGCCTGCGTGAGCAACGGGGACGAGGCCCAGGCCCAGTCCGGGGAGAGGGCCCCCCGCACCCTCAGTAACTGGGTCACCCAGGCCGGTACCCAGGCGAAGATGGGCAGCGTGAGCCACTGATCGAGGACGGCCGCCCGCTGGGCCTGGCTGCTGAGCCGTACCCACTGCACCGGGCCGTACACCACAGCCATCCAGGCGAAGACCGCCTTACGGTAGGCCTGCCCCCGGCTCGGGGCTGACTCTCTCCGCAGCCAGTAGGCCCCCAGCCCCATGTAGCCCAGGTTAACCAGGCAGTTACACGGCATGGCCAGGAAGCGGGGCAGCCAGCTGACAGGCCGCTCGGCGTAGTGCCCGTAACCGAGCTCGGTGTAGACCCGGTCCAGCAGGCCGCTGGAGAGCACCGAGAGACACAGGCCGCACAGCAGCACGATGTGAAGGAAGGCCTTTCCACCGGGGCCCAGCATAGCCATAGAGCCTGGTACCGACTCCCCTAACACCGGGCAACAGTGTCTGCTTATCTGCCCCTTCACCCCGGGGGCGGGCAGTCTCTCTCTGTGTCCCCACCCCCCCGGGGGCAGTGTCCTTCTGCCTGACCCCACCCCCCCCGGGGCAGTGTGTCTCTGTGACCCCACCCCTCCCACGGGGGCAGTGTCCCTCTGCGTGACCCCCGGGGCAGTGTCCCTCTGCCTGACCCCACCCCCCTGGGGCAGAGTCTCTCTGCCTGACCCCCAGGGCAGTGTCCCTCTGCCTGTCCCCACCCCCTGCAGGGTGTCTGTCTGTCCCTTTCCACTGAGGTCAGTGTCTCTCTGCCCCCACCCTCTTTGGGCAATGTCTGTCTGTCTTTTTCTTTCTGTCTCACTCTGACCCTCTCCCCCAGGGGCAGTGTCTCATTGTCTACCTGGACCCCCTCAGGGCCAGTGTCCCATCGTCTGATCCCACCCCCGGGGGCAGTGCCTCTCTGTCTGTCCCACTGAGGTCAGTGTCTCTCTGTCCCCTCCCTCTTTGGGCAATGTCTGTCTGTGTCTCTGAGACAACAAGGTGCAGAGCTGGATGAACACAGCAGGCCAAGCAGCATCATAGGAGCAGAAAGGCTGACGTTTCGGGCCTAGACCCTTCATCA